CTAGGCTTCCACAAAGCCAGTACGTGCAGTAGGATCAAAAACCCATTGCCATTGTTCTTGAGTTCTCAGTAGTCCTCATTGTCTGCTATGTTCAGCGAGTCCGGTTTTATCCCAGGCTTTTTCAGACCCAGTCCAGCTGGCCTAGGTGAGTTCCCGATAGAACATTCCCATTGTCTCAGTGTGTGGGTGCACCCCTCGCGGTCCTGAGTTCCTTGCTCGTGCTCTCTCTCTCCTTCTGTTCCTGATTTGGACCTTGCCATCTCTGTGAGTTTTTGAGACAAACCTCTACAAAGCGAGTTCCAGGCCAACCAGAATAACACGATGAGAGACTCTGTATGAGAGAGACAGAGACAGAGACAGAGAGAGATCTGCCCTGCTGGAGAGATGGCTCAGTAGTTAAGAGCACTGACTGACACTGGCTGCTCTTCCAAAGATACAGCTTATTCCCAGCACCCACAAGGAACTCACAACTACTTGTGGGTCCAGTTGCAGAAGCTCGATCTTACACTCTCTTTTGGCCATCACAGGCTCTGGGCATGCAAAAGATGCACAGCAACACACACACACACACAATAGTTTTTTAAAATAAAAATTCTTCCTTGGGATGTGATTAAAATGTTAGTCTTCTTGGGAAGTCACGGGGTCCTGATATGTATCCCGACTGCACTCCCTCTTCTGCATCCTGAGTGTCATTTCCAAGGTACATGAGACTCCATCTCAAAAACTAATAAATAAATAAATATAATTCCAGATTTAGTGTAGACCAAAATGTTTCATTAAAAAAGTATTTAGCCTTTAATCCTAGCACTCAGGAGGCAGAGGGAGACAGATCTGTGAGTTCGTGAGTTCTATAGAGTGTCTATAGAGTGAGTTCTAGTACAGCCAGAGATACACAGAGAAACCCTGTCTTAGAGAAAATAAAGGAACCTCATCCAGGCAGTAGCTCACAGGCACAGCCACGTTGCTTTGGAATTCATCCTGATTTACTGTATTACCAGAGTAACTATGCCTCTTCTACCTCTGTTCTAAGCAGGAGTTCCCTAACGTGGGGCTTCTCTTTCTTCCTAAACCTCCTATCCTCACCACGTCTTTTCAGGCTTAAACTGAATGGCTTCTTTTTTTCTTTCTCCTCCTCCCAGAAGCTGCTGAGACAACTCTGCCCCAGGAAGCGATTTTCTTCTTTAACTCTAGTAGAATTGCCCATGACACTTAGGAAGGCTGACAAGCTAAATGTGTGTTGTCATTTTCATCCCCCACCCTGCAAAACACTGTAAAGCATTTGGCTATCATATTACAACACACTATTGTTGATCTCCGGCCCCAAGGGGAAGGAGATTTGCACTTTTTTTTTTTTATTTATTTTTTGATTTTTTGAGACAGGGTTTCTCTGTAGCTTTGGTGCCTGTCCTGGAACTAGCTCTTGTAGACCAGGCTGGCGTTGAACTCCCAGAGATCCGCCTGCCTCTGCCTCCTGAGTGCTGGGATTAAAGGTGTGCTCCACCACCGCCCGGCAGATTTGCAAATTTTTGAGACGGGTTTTTGATTTTTTTTTATAAAGAATTTGAATAATTTTAAATGTATTTTTAGAGCTGGTCATGGTGGTGCCCCAGCACTCAGGAGGCAGAGGCAGGCAGATATGCTTAGTGAGATCATTGTCTCTAAAATATATATACATATATTTTTATCTTGTGTATGTTCATATAAGTCTGTGAGTGCTTTTGTGCCATGCTGTGCTTGTGGAGGTCCAAAGACAATTTTCTAGAAGTTTTTTTTTTTTTTTTTTTTTTT